TAAAGTAAGAAAGGAAACGTAGACACAATGATTTGTGGAAATCAAAAACAAGATATTTAATGAATACCTGGAATAACAAATGATAAAATACATATATTTTAAAGACTCAGCAAAGAAACACTCAGCCATCACTGAAATAACATAAGAAATGAATACGGGTCTTTTTAGACCCATGTTGCGCATTAGAAGGGTTGCTATACAAATACTATTTTTATTCAAAAAGTAAGAAAGGAAAAATAAAAATAAGGATTTGTGATGATCAAAAACAAGTTAATTGAGGAATACCTGGAATACTGAATGATGAAATTAATTTCTTGCAAAGATATAGAAAATTAAAACTATTTAGACCCATGTTGTGCATCAAAGGGTTAACAACTCCCATTCCCACTTCCATGAATCCCATTTCTGATGGGATGCTGTTTAGAATTTGGTGTATATGCTGCAAACCTAATTATGTACATTATAGGAATTATGCAATTATGATAGTGATTATGAATTATGATGGGGTGTGCTTATAATTTAGACATTTTAAATACAATTTCTAAGTCAAAAACAGAATCCCAGCATAACCTATTCATTTTGCATAATTGATAGCTGAAATGTAAATAGTGTGTTGGGTAAAGCATGTTTCACCTCATAAAGTCAATGTAATTCTGAAAAAATGACCCATAAGTGTGCTGTCCATGAACAGTAATAATTAAACTTGACAACTTTTTTCAAGACAACAAATTTTATTAAGAATTAGAAGAAAATAGAAAAGTAAAATAATGTAAAAATAAACATATAAAGAACAGAACTATTAAATAAGTAATTAAAAAAAAGTGTGTTTTTCTGGAACTGGCTTATTCGTCGAGCCATTCTAGACTCAGGCCCTCTCCATGGTAAGAGCCTCTCTTTAGTCATATTTGAGCTGTGTGCCAACAGTGATGTCCTTCAGTGCTTTAAATAAGATTATATCATTGTCTTCCCCATTAATTTTCATCTTGCAATGGAACGGTTTAAGGTTTGGCATCTTTGAAGAATGGTTTATTCTTCTGCCAAAAGTGTTTGTAAGAGGGTGGCTCTCGCATGGATAATTCTGTGAATCTACACACAGTTCTCTTTCTCCAGCTTTGAAAAAGAAACAATATCCAGGCTCGTCGTTCAGGCTCTGCACTCTGGCCCTCCCTTCAGCCGCTGTGATTACCTTTCCATGGTAATCACAGACTATATCGTTGGTGTAAAACCATCGGGTTGCGACGACTCCTATAATAAAGAGAACAATAAAAATGACATGTAGTTCATGGCTGCTGGAATGCACATTTTACATTATTGCTTCTTCTGCCCTTACAAGACAAATGAAGAGTTTTCTTAGCTAGACCTTGCTCTGCACCAAAGTGCTTGATGGCGAGCCCCGTCCATGTCTGTTGGGACACGCACTGAATGACAAAACTGTCTTCTTCTACTTTTTGCTTTGGGGCTGGTCTCCACTGCAGCACAATCTCCTCCGGCTTTGGCCAGTTCACCGTCCAGCCCTCCTGTGTGATAAGACCTTCGCTGCAGACGGTTTGCGCAGTGTGAAGTATGCTGAAAGGCAGAATGAAATAACTTTACTCATGTGATTCACTGAAAATAAATGGCCTAGTTCGTGTCGAGTCAGTGTGTGTTAATGCTGTATTGATGAATTCGGAGACTTACACAGCAGATGTTTCTCCCGCTGGGCGTACTGGGCGGCCCTCCATTTATTATAAAAGACACGGTCTTCTGGAAAACCGTATTCCACCCTTTTCTTTTTACATGGAGGCAGACCCTCCAGCGAAACTGGAAATCTTTCAATGAATTCCCCAAAGTCTCTCCGATGTCCCCCAGAAGCGCCAGGCGCCAGTCTCGTCCGCAGACCCACTTTGTAAGTGAGGAATACAAGGTTTATAATATGCAAAAAAAATGAATGAAAACTTGCTAATCTGCTGTGCAAATAGTTTGTGATGAGTTGGTTGGACGAAGAGACGTACCTGGCCAATGATTCCTGTCCATGACATCCTGAGGCTGGGCCGCACCAGCACTGAAGGACAGGTAAATTAAGTAATGCCCCCCCTTTGTTGCTCTGGGAGGTCTTTGGCCATCTCATACCTGCAGAAAGACAATGAAAAATGAAATGTTAATTGTGCTGTGACTGACAAAATGTGGATCCATTCACACACACGCATACCAGTTTGCATTTTGAAAGTGACACACTTCCTGCTGCCAGTTGGTGGCGCTATAACTTTGACTCACAATAGTCACATCCATGTGATCGTCACATCGTCACACCAGTCACATCCTCGCACTGTTAGTGCTCGGGCCCTAATGATGAAGTCTTAGCCTACTTACAGGTTGTGGCCCAACAACTGCTGCCTCTGGTTTTAAAGTTGAAACTGCTTCATGTTTTAGTAACAGTTTCTTGTTGAATCCGGTGTTGAACTCGTGGAGATTCTGGAAGCTGTCTTCCGTAAATGCGCAGCACAGAGAGCTAGATTACCATCGTCATTTTCAGGAACATAATCAAACATAAATTGTATCCATTGTTGACGAAGTACAGCGTCCGTGGGAAGCCTGAACACAGAAGACCTGACAGCTGCGTGAACAACTCACTCGACGAGCTGGAGCTGCTGAAATATGGCCATGTCCTTTTCTGCTTATTCTGGAGGGAGGGTTGATGCAAATGTGTGGGTTAGTGACGTACCATAACCCAGCTGTAGTCCCAATCCAGTTGTTTTTGTAGGCGTTTATACTTCCTGATTTTTAAAGGACGATATCTCTGCTTACACTGAACTTTCAGCGCTGCAACTTTGCAGATACTGTTCATGCACCAACAGCAACATTACACACTATTTAACATGAAAAAAGTGAAATCGCAGTCAACCCCCCCTTTAATATTCATCAATTGCGAAATCATGTTAAACACAGAGGAAATAATAAAAAACATAACTTCACTCAATTGGTATCCAATATGTCCGTCTAACGGAGCAGATATAGCAATTAGATAGTCAGTCAGGTAGATAGATAGATAATTAGAGAGATATATAGCCTAGATAGATCGATAAATAGGTGTATTATTTGTCCACTGGGGAAAGTTGTTTTCATTGTAAAAATATCTTCATCAGCTACAGAATCATGGCATTCATGCATATGCCTTTAGTTTGTTTTATTTTTGATAAAATAACGTATGACGTGTCTCAACCATTCAGAAAGCTGCAAAAAATTACATTTGCGCTGAACTATTTCCCATTTAGATTATAAGCGACATCCGTAGCTTGTCAGATGCAGAATTAAATGTAAGTAAAATGCCCCATCACAATGCGTATAATGACGCACAATGGCTGATCTTGCGCTCTTAGAAGATGTGGCGATTAAACGCAAGGATTCGAAGAGAACGCGTCATCTTCACAACAAAAGGTGTGGAAAAAATATATTATTTATTGAAGAATTCCCTCATTGTGCAGTTTATTTCAGTTTGGACAGTCTTGATTTCGTCCAACTCCTTGGCCCTCTCTGATTGAATTAATGACTAGACGCTTTTTTGCCTCGACTTTGAAATCCGACCATTTCTTTTTTATTTCGGCCACAGTCCGAGGTTGTGAGGCTACAGCATTTACGGCGTCTGCAACCTTTTGCCACTCAAGTGCCTTTTTGGCATTAGTAATGGCGAGAATATCAGTTTTGTACATTATTTCGTTCTGTTTACCATCTTATTTATGAGGATGAATTGTATAAGCCAATATTATTGAAGAACATATTTCTTTCTTTTTTGGAAATATGTGTTAATTTTCATTTCTGTTGCAGATCGATCAAACGGGTGTTCGTGTAGGATGTTAATTGTAAGACTTGCTTTGTGAAGTCTTCGTGTTATTTATGCAATTTATTTCACACAACCGTCTACAGTTTCACACACATTCACGTGTTTTTCCATCTGCCGACGGTGTCGCCATTTCTCATTTCACCCGTTTTTGTGCGTACGCCTGGGTCAGAGCTGGCGTGAAGGACCGCACATTTTACCGTCAAGTTTGTTTTTTATAAACACCAACTATTGCGTAGAGAGCGGCGTACGCCTTCTTTTGTGCGTACGCAACGTTTATAAACGAGGCCCCTGGAGCTTATCTCCTGACTTGTGTATAGGCTTTACTATGGCTGTTTTCAAAGCTGTAGGGAAAGTACTTTCATTTATAGACTGATTTATAACTTTAGTTAGCATAAATTAATGTACAATACAAAGTATTTACAACACACTTACAATAAGTACTTTACTCTACTTACAATACAGTCTGTCTGGGTTGTCAGTTCACAACGAGGCTCCATTTAAATTTGTCACACATGGTCTGTGAGAGGCAAGGAGACGTCTGGCAAAATCACAGTCTGAAAAAATAGAGTCTGAGATCCAACCACTCCAGCTCCAGGACGTAGATCAAGGTCAATTATTTCATTGGTCACACTGAGGCTCCTTTTACATGAAACTACAATGTTTAGACGCTACTGAGGCTCCTTTTACATGAACATCAAGTCCATACGCAAGCTCCCAATTTTGTCCAAACATCTATAGTTCATTCGCGAGCTCACAGTTGACAAACAAAACATTGATAGTTCATAGTCTTGTGTCATAAAATGTGACACAAATTGTAAAGAATCAAATGTTCAGCCACTCCAGCTCCTCTATCTCCCCACGAAAAGTCCTCTTCTTGATGCCGTGGTCGAAGCAGATCTTATCATCTTTCTGAATGTCCGTGGTGGCCTGAAAGAGCAGGACGTGCCCGTCTCCCCCCTGAAGTTTCACTATGCAGTGGCATGGCTGCACGTTGTGCTTCTTCTTCGAATGTGTAATCCATCTCCCGATGGTTTCCAGAGACGGGTGGCACTCACAGGGGAAAGTCTCCGCATCGATGCAGATTTCGTCAGGGCCATGTTTGAAGAAAAACAGGTTTCCCAGCTGGTCCTGCATCTCTGCCATCTCCCTGCCCTCAGCACCTGTGATCACCTTTCCGTGGAAATCACAGGATCGAGCCCTTCCCGAAGGCCTTGGTTGCAACAACGCCTGTGGTCAAAAAGAGGGAGTCATTAATGTGCTGTTCATGATGTTATTATATTCATTTTATTTATGGATTTTACTGTGCTCATAAGACAGTTGTACATACCTTTCTGTTCCCCAAAGGCCTTCACAACCAGACCCGACCATTTCTGCCTGGTCACCCTCTTGATGATGCCCGGGTCACTCTCCGCCTGTGCTCTGCTGAGCGGCCTCCACTTCGCCATGATGTCCTCTGGACGAGGATGATTGGCTGTCCAGCCCTCTGCATCTATGACTTTGGCCACCATCGCTGCAGTTGGGGCACGTCTTGAGAATTTTGCTGTCAAAGAGAGCACATTTGAATTAAAATTCAGGTTCACACACTAGTTCAAAATGTTTCTGTTGGAGCAAATCTAATCATTGGATCATAAGGAAGTACACGTACACAAAAGATGTTGCTCCCGAAGGCTGTACTGCAGAGCCCTCCACTTGTCATAAAAGACTCTGTCGCCGGGGAACCCAGCTTTTTCTCTCTGGGTCTTGTTGGGTGGTTTGCCAGTGATTCCCACAGGGAAGGCCTGCAGGAAAGCATTAAAGTCCGGGGCTGGGCTGCCAACCTCTTCTTTCACCCGCCTTCTCTTCACTGCCAGGGTGCCCTCGTCGCCAGAGTCGTCAGAAGAGGAGCTGCAATATTGAAAAGGTCTGGAGGTTACACACTAACGAACTGATGGATGAGCGTTGAGAGACATTATAATTATAACAGATTTATAACATAATTATAGTACAGATAATTACATACCGTGTCAGGGAGCTGAGCAGGTTTGAAGTGGCCACAATAGCATCTAGGGTCTTCATCCTATAGTGCTGGTTTGCCACTGCATTGGAATGGGCCATGTAGTGGGCCACAGACGCCTTCTGCTCCTCTGTAAAGTTGTCAGCCACATCTGTCTCCACGGTCCGACGTATCTGCTGGCTCGTGATGTTGCGTAGTTTGTAGCTGCAATGGGGCAGAAATATCAGATGAAACTCCCAAACTTGAACTATATAATTTTCTAGAGGCTGATCCGTTTAATAAATGCTACTTTATGGTCTTTTGGACTGCTGTCAATACTTACTGAATGTGCAGACGAGAGAGGTCGTTGGTCGCACTCTTAATTTCCGTGCCTGACGAAGAAACAAACAACCTGTCTGCACTGTCTACATCCGGCCGGATGAAGTCAGGGCGGATCCATGTATAGTATGCATCCAGCATCTGCAGAGACAAAAAGTAAATAAAATAAATACATCTGTTGATATCATTGCTGGTGTTACTGTATCTCATGGTAAAGCAAATTTAGCCTGTAAGTGTACTTACTGCTGCCTCCTCCATTGTGAGGGCAAACACGGCGATCTGCATTGTCGCAGTCTTGTGTTCACTAACTGCCACGCATATCTTTCCCCCAGAAGTCTTTCTTTTATCCCACTCTGCTGTCTGAAAAAACAAACAAACAAAAAATAAACAGAGTGAATAAGTGACATAAACGTCCTCTTCGCAGACTAGCTAACATAATCTGTTTAGGCTTATGCCCCCATGAAAGCTGAGGTCTTAACACTTACTGTTACTCCCACCGCTCCTGGTCTCTGGAAGTGACCGAGGATCAGGATTGCTTCGCAATAGTAGCGGAACATGGTCTTTTCCTCTGACGGCTGGACCATCAAACCCTCTGTGTGCAAAAGAGAGAGAAACTCAGACAATGTCACACCAGAGTTCATTCTCTCGAGGTAGCACAAATTAAACCTTTTTCTGAGTTGATCTTGATCTGGTCAGACAGTTCTTTCTCCAGCTTTTCCTTTACATCTGTCCAATGTGCAAATTCTTTCCGGAATCTCTTAAAGAATTGTGGCGTTTTCCCTTTATCTAGTACCAGAGAGCTGGAGATCAAGCTGGAGAGCTGGAGAGAATGCGAGTTAAGTCCCTTTGAGAAGGAGCATGACGTGATATAAAGCTAAACAAATCGCCAAACATGATGCAATGAAGCAGGAAGGACACCTCCTGTACCTGTACGAGCCGCCGGACTCACTGTCCAGCTCTAAAAACTGAACTCTGGGTTTGCGGAAGTGGCTGGTGAACGGAGGCTTGTCATTGGTGTACGTCATTGGTGTACCGCAGCTGCTCTCACTGCTGGAGGTGGAGAAGTTCATGGCCGCTACAGAGACAGAGAGAAGGTTAACACTCCTGTAAGGATACCACAATCATTAACGCATGCCTCACTCAACTGTAGGGTTGGGAATCGAAAATCTTGAGGTCAGGAATCAGATAGTCGTTATAAAACGAATTGATTCCTTTGTGAGCATTTCAATGACTCTAAAGAGCCCCTATCATGGATTTTTGAAAATGACTGTTCATATGGTGTGGAATATAGCTCTAAGGGAATGAAAATCTGAAAGTGCACCGTATATAAAATTATGGTCTTTTAAAAGTGAGTCTATTAAATGAATTGTTTTTGAAACGAGTCATTAGCTGTAGATACATACTGGCCACGCCCAGTTACTGCGCGCGCAGACGGAAGTGTAAACTCGAAGTCTACACACTCAAACACTTCATCATAGCATCATGTCGAGAAGACGCTGTGTTCTACTATGCAGAGATAGTTCAGCCACTTTGTTTTCATTTACCAGGGACGAGCATGTGAAGAATCGGTGGTTAGAGTTCATATCAACACTATAGCCCGATTGTGTTCTCATCATTTTATTGACAAATAATGTTAGTTCAAAAACATAAATGAATTCAAATGTGCATTCACAAGCGGTTGTTCCTGAAGGAGGGCTCAGTAACTTACTTTCCCAGTGTATATGGATCAGCTTCCTCCTCCGAATCACAACCTGTAAGTATTATTAATAATTTTTGCTTTTATGGGTTTTGAACGGTTTTGTTGCGTCAGAGCGCGAGGCAGTATGTGTGTGTGTGTGTGTGTGTGTGCGCGCGCGCGCGCATGTGTAAGTTACGCTCAGCGCAGCTTCTAGGTCTCCAATGTCAATTTTTTTTAAATATGTGAAATGTTTGTCGCTGTTATTGGAGTTGTCAAAGAATAGAGCGTCTTGTAGTACTGTAGTGCTTTATCAATATGTTTATGGGTCTGTCATCTGACCAATCACCGCCGATTAGTGTCACGCTAGAGTGGTTTGGAAAAACGAGTCGTTGTACGAATCATTTGGGAGTCTGTGAGCAAATCAGTTAAAAATAAATGCATATTATACGACAAATAAAGTGTTTATCCTTGCATGCATGTTAAACTGTTTTTGGGAACTCCTAAAACAAAAATAGGAACATTTCAAATGCTATGATAGGGGCTCTTTAAACCCTTCAAGCACGAGATGACTTGCACACTGTTTTGTGTGCTGCACACATGTGTAACAGTATATAGCTTGTTTTCACGTGACGTCACGCCACTGTGTTGCCATGGCGCGAAACGCAGATGGAGGGCAGGAAGTGATTTTCTATATTTGGAAGCACTATAAACACACTCAAAATGCCTATGTTTGGCGTCGTTTACGGTTGCTCAGATCGATCAAACCACAAGGAGTTTTTATCGTGTGGCCAAAGTTGTTGTTCATAAGGGGGGAAAATACAAGAAATTGACAGAAAAACACCAGGAAAAATGCTTTGCAAACCCTCGTCTGCGGTCGGAAAAGCCAAATGGGAAAATGCCAGTGAGAGTGTGTGTGTGTGTGTGTGTGTGTGTGCAGTGATCACTTCGTCAAATGTGAGATAATACATTATTTATGTGGCTTATAATTACATTATTCAGGTATTTAAATACACTTAAGTGGCTGTTTGTGAAACGTACCAGACTAGTTTCCGAACTTCGTAAAGTCAAAGTATGTCTGTAAGACGAGTTATGGCGCTTTTCCACTGCATAGTACGGTACGGTTCGCTCAGTACGCTTCGACTCGGCGCGGAACAGTTCGGATCGCTTTGCGTTTCCACCGCAGTAGTACCCCTTCAAAGTGTGTGGGACTGATCGTTATTTGCGCGCGCCTCTACTGCCATGACAATCATCTTAAAAGCGCCACATTTTCAAACCCACAACACAGGAACAATGGAGACTATCGAGGGGATGGTGTTCCTGATTCTCGGTATGTGGTTGTTTTTAACTGCTAGACGGAAAAATGTGTTTAAAATGAGGCTGATGGCAGCAAAACAAAAATACTGCTAAAAAAGTGTCTCGTGTCTCGTGTCGCAAATCCAATGACGCTAGTAGTGACGATTCTGTCTGACCAATCAGTGATCTGCAGTGTTTCACGTCACATTTTAGTACCGGTACGGTACGCTTGGAACCTCAACAGACCAGGTACCATTTAAAGCGACCTGAAGCGAACCGTACTGTACTGTACCATACAGTGGAAAAGCACCACAAGTGAGCCGTACCGAACCGTACTATGCAGTGGAAAAGCGCCATTAGTTGCCGATATCTACAGCCTCGATGGCAAGCAAATCTCTCAATTCAGTTGAAAATCGGTCCTCTTCATAACGTAAGGATCACGTCCAACATATGTCTCAATTTTCTGTTGATATATTTCTCTTGTAATTGCGCTCTCCATTGCGCTCTTCACTCCTTGCCCTCCATCTGCATTCCGCGCGTCAACACAATCACGTGACTGCAAACCACCTATTGGATCCATGCAGCTCTTAAAGTGACAGTACACACATACACACACACACACACACGACATGTGCCGGTATTCGGTAATGCGAAAAATCGCGGTAATGAATATGCACGATATTGTTATCGCGGGCTCTTCAAAATACCGTGAAAAATAATAAATTCAAATTTAGACTTTTAGAGCGTGCATTAGCTGCTTATTTTCCTATTTTCCTCCGCTTATTTCCAATAAGCAGCATTAGCTGCTTATTTTCCTGCGCACTCTGATGTAAACAATCCCCACATGTATAAGCACTGTGTGCATGCGGCAGAACGCTCCCGACGATGCATCCCCGCAGGGCTGCCAACTCACACATTCAGCTTGAGACTTTCAGACAGGACGCGGAATACGCGCAGGGTTTTGTTGCTGCGCCGACCTGCATCGACCACGCCGGGGTTAAAGTTCAAAAACTGGAAAACTGCTCTTTTTTTAAGGTTTTTGTTTTTGGTTTGTTAGCGCTACTACATATAATTACATTTATATTTAATGTGGTTTCCACATTAAATGGACAGCGTCGCTCGCGCTATACAGTGTCAATAGAAATGTATTGAACAGGCTAGGTAATAGACTAATAGTGATAGTAGTTTGTTAATAATATAATCAAAAACGACATAAGGTTCTCAGTCCACTCCAACGAAGTTTAAAACCTAGGGCAGTTCAAAACGGTTACAAAAACATACCAGTAGGTGTCGCACTGTGTTTGCTGCTGTGTGCAAGCTACTGTCATGGAGATTAACTTATGTTCTGTAATAAAAACTTTCCATTATAACTGTGCCTTCACAAATTAGCCTACTCACAAAATGAGCTCTTTCTCCTCATTAGGCATATTTGATCATGTAGTCTATACAGTATGGTCATGATTTGGCAATTATTTAAATAATAAAACAGTAGATCAACATGAAAATCACTGCAGTCTGTGATATTTAGAACAAGAATCTGCTGGATTTTTCTAAAAAAAAAAAAAAGATTTTAGTCTGCCGACACCAAGCACATAGCTACACCTTGAGCCTACGCAACTTTGTGTCCCAGCTAGCATGAACAATCAGCCTGAGCTCGGCTGCCCCGCGGCGTCTGCGGCTACGTGTTAACCGGGCCGATTGTGGCCCGCAGCTCGCTCTGGAACATGCATTTTTGTTACGGCTGTAAAACACTGGGCCGATTCATGTTCACCATAAAAACCGGCTCCGGCTGTATGATCTAGACCACTTCTGGAAATGACTCGGCTTAGGTTAAATCAAGGATGGTTTAAGCAATAATAACATTAAAAAAAATATATTTTAAAATTGACGTAAATTCCTGCCCGTATCAGATAATGTTAGATGCGGTAGCTATGCAGTAAATAATAATTAAATAGTGTTGTTAATTTGCACAGAGGATTCTTTAATATACCAAAGCTTTACATGTATTTTAAACATGCATTCGCGTTTAAGCTGACATAGACGCACAATATGTTTAAGCGTAAATGGTGTGACCATGGGCGCGAATGCGCTTCTCCGAAGAACAGATTGCGTGAAAGCGGTAAGGCAGCTTTGAAAAGCTGTCTATGGAAAAATCTACAGAAAAGTTTGGGCCCATGGAGGGACTATCATTGGATACCACCTGATGAATTTTGTTTTTCTAGCACCTCATATTCATTGTATAATAGTCTTCTTTGAAATGTGTAGGACTACCTTGAAATGTTTTGTTTACATTCCAGATTGATTATAAAGGCCA